GTGTGTTGTCAACATCGACTGTGCCCACTCTATCGGATCACTTCCCATCACTAGGGCTTCAATCCCGGATGAGTTTCCCTCCCACCAGACTCGTGCAATACTCCGAAGATATCGATGGTCAAGCACTGAAATTTCTTTGACATTCTCAGCCCTCATCGGCCAAGTTTCTGACCTATATGAAGCGTATGGTAGCATTGTTAACACGATCCTTGATGAATCAGCTGATGTCACGCCTATGCCACCGGTACTGCGGGTTCACGAAAGCTACTCTGACCTTTCCAATGCCATCTTTCGCGAGACCACCGGCACTAACACAGCTGCTCAGTTGGACAAATTTGTCTACTACCTCGATCCACTCATCCGTAAGCATGAGGTTAGGGTTGGGGTCCACCCAGTTTCGTAGCAGCGCTTCACACTTAGCAGATGTGATATATATATATATATATATATATATATTATATGTTTGCTCAAACGTGGAGTCATTTGATGAGACGAACTCTTCAGTGGATGTATTCACTTCCCGTCACTAAATGTACCGTTGGTGCATAATCTTACTATTTCCCCACATAACGTTCCCGTTTCCTCATCGCTCGTTGCAGGAATTCGTCTTGCAATGGACAAAACATGACATACGACTTCCGACCGACACAAACGAGGTCGTGATGAACAGTCATTCCAATCCGTCCCCAGTTTCTCATGATATGGATGGAGATTCGACAGACACCGCCGCTCACTCGACCAATGAAGCCTCGTCCCCGAAGCCTGTTCACCCGAACTTCTCTATCCCACCGCTCATCCGATTATTGCTTAACTTGACCCGCAACGCTGTACACCGGTTCCATCAGGATCGTCTGACCAAGGTCGATGTAGTGTTGAATCAAGAACGTTGGCAGGCCGTAGTCGTACCGAACCAAATACAACAGCTGGTCGAACAAACATTCGAATTGCGCAAAGGACGCAAACAGGTAGCAAAGTGTATACAGGCCTTTTTCAATGGTGTTCTGCCTTCGTACATCCATTCCGGTGGTTGTTTGCATCTGCTCATGTGTTTTCACGTTTCCAGGCATCTTCCACACCTCGTTCGATCAATCTTTCCGATTCCGAATCAGTCCGGTCACACATGGCTTCCCCAATATCTCTTCATGGCGGAGTTGCATCCTCCGTGGTGCTTGGTGGCGATCGATTTGTCGTTGTCGGAACAGTGTTGCTTCTTTTGCCAGTCATGGTTGACTACACAACGTTGGCTGAACAGCTACCTTGCAAGCCGTGGTCCGTGCATGAGGTCGCCGAACGTCTAGCTGAACTTTTGAATGTAAGTTCCCCCCATGCTTTCCTCCGCCTAGTCGAAGATTGACTATCCACTGGGCTTTTTGACGCGATAGAATGCTTTGCAACGTAACAGCTCACACTGCGTATGCCAAATGTAATCATACAGACTTCCCGTGTGGGTGCAAACGTTTGTGTAGTCCTGCTTTTATGCAAAAGGTCGGTTAGATATAGATACTTCCGTTGGTTAGTTTCTTGTTCTGGATGCATGGCTTCCCCGCAGAGATGCAGTAAAAGGGGATTCCCATCAAGAAACCCGAAATACTGCCAATGCCGGATGTCCCTCTTTCAGGTGTTTTGCAGAGTTTCATCAGGGGCAACGAAATGCATCCACCCTAAGCCTATTTGAAATGATGGGGGGGGGGATTTCTGGGGTGGACGTCTGTCAGACGAAGACGTTTGTGTTTTAAAGAGTTTTTAGACGGTTACACTTGCACTACTACGTTATATTTAGCATTGTTCTTACTGGTAACATTGTTTTCTACACTGTTCGAAAGCCTAACCGCTCACAATAATCTGAGACTCACCGTGTCCCTCAACACGACATGTAGTAAGCAATCAGATTCTTTCCACCCACAAATTTCAAGCCAATAAACACAGACAGGACCTTACACGTTGTTTGTGGGCTGCTAAGGCACACACACACACACAAATGCAGGTTTATTACTTCCGCTCAACTGATGAACGGTTACGGATATTGATTTTACTACTCAACAACACCGACCAATCGGTGTAGGTACTCCCAGAATGTTTGCTTTAGCTCAGCATCCTCATGCACACTTTCCTCTCTTTTCACTTGAAATGTAGGCAAATAAACATTTTAGTTGCACTCCAGTGAAGCGTCAGAGTCACCACTGATTTTGGTGTGTCTAATGATGACGCGGGCATTCCTCGATTGCGGTACACCTACAACACCTAACCCTGTCGCGAGTTACCTATCAGACCACCTGTGAAAGTCAAGGGACATTTACACTTCACATCTTGCTTATCAAACAGTCATCCAAGTCCCCGGAGTAATTTCATGGGATCGAGCCATTGTAGGACAATCTTCCGTACGGAGTGAATCAGCTGTAACTAATCGATCTTATGCTGAGCTTGCTCGCTGATTTATGGTAACGAACTGATGTAACGCTGAAAAAGTAAAAGCCTGTCACTGTGGCACGATGTTCAAATCTATCATTTGGGGTGACCCATTTTAGCCAGGACGGGTATCTATTCGATACCCCGAATAGCTTAGTGGTTAGAGCGCGAATTTATTGACCGAAAGGTCCATGGTTCGAACCCGACTTCTGCATATCAACTTCCCCTGTCTAGACTTGAGCAACCTGGCAGTATCCGAGCCCTCATGCTTCCTTCGGGCGGTATGTTAGTTAGGCACCGAAAGGGTGCGACAGCTGAACGATTATTATTATTTATTGATTACTCTGAATGCCACGTTTCCGGATTCTGCAGCTAGTTTACGCTGTTTACTGAACAGGCACAATCCTCCTTACTGCATGTTGCTCTTGCTTGGGTTCCACGGGGAGTTTGCTACTTGTGACGTGTCCATTATCGCCGAGCCTTTTTTCTGGGTGATTCCTTTGTCCTCCTGCATCCTAGAAATGAAGCCGTGGTTGCCAGCATCCATCAGCCAACGTCCCTTTCTTCTATCTTAAGGACCTATGGTGATGGTTCAACCCCTCTCACGGCGAATGACCAAGTCGATAGAGCCATTTTTTTTATCTCGTCTGAGGTTGTGCAGGAAACCTGGTTATCCTTGTCGAATCCGCGATTCTCAGACAACTCCATCTACCAGGGGGGTCGGTTTTGTTAGTCAGGCTAGTAGGAATCATCTCATCCTTTACTTAGGAATTTACTATTCGCCTCGAACGGAGTTCATATCACCATTCGCCCGTACCATGCCCAGGGACCTAGAACGTCCAAATTGTCTCCACATACACGTATTTCTACAAACAAAACTATTCTGTTTGCTCCACCTGGTCTTCTGGTGCATTGTTTCCTGTGTGTACAATACAGGTGTTGTTTTTACTGTTGTTGTTGTTGTTTTGTCAATCTTTCCAACTAATGCAAGGAATAACAACTTCTACATGGCGCTCCATACTAGTATTTGGCTCACGGCATTTTTAGGTCCTAAAAGAACTGCGCAAGTTCTATCTTCACCTCGCTAAGCTAAGCAAAAATTACTTTCCACTTATCTTGCAGTCGTTCAACTCCCGCACATGCCAGCTCGTTCTCGGCGCCGAGGCTCGACGTTCTGCAGACTTGCCCACCATTTCCGCGCGTAACTTGGCCTTGACCTCTCGGAGTTTGCAACTGATTTCACGATGTATCCCGATTATTCGTTCCGACTTGGAAAGGTTCGTCAATGTCACATGCAACCTCTAATTTGTTATCTAGTTCTTTACGGTTTTCTTTCGTTGCCTTGGTCACCCGTTGTTGACGGATTTTCCCATTTTACTTCCACGCAGCCTTGCCGCGGACGAAAGGGCAGATTCCAAACAGTTAACTTCGGTTCCCGGTTACTTCACAAAGCGTCATCGACAGCAAGGCTCGCTGCAACACGTGGAGAACCTGTTCCAGTAAGCTCTAACCCGTTGTGATTTCCGCAGTGGCAATCGAAATCACAAAGTTTTCCAAGCTACATTGTTGCTGGGTTATTACTGCTCTTCGTTACTGCTGTATCTTCGATAAGAGTAATGCCATACCTTTGTTAACCATATCTTTATCTTCGTTATATGTGCCCACCTACCTTCACCTGATCTACCAGCGTTGGCCACGGACTGTTTGCCACGTTTTAGAAGCAGTATACAATAACTTGGTTTCTTATGATTTATTATAATTTCATAAATGCGATCGATCTGTGGCCAACACTGAAACGTCAGTGATTTGCAGGTTATTCAGACATATTTGGCCTAAACCACATGTACGGGAAATTCAAAACCTGATCCCAACTGCGAATATTTTCTCCCTTGAGAGTAAACAGCTGGAACTGTTCGCTCAGATCCTCTTACAGAATACTACTTTATTTTGGAATAAGTAGCGTGTTATGGAATCTTAAAGTCACATCCGGAAGACAACACTGGAGCTCAAACAGAAGGGAAAATTTAACACACTTCGACAGAAAGTAGAAGCTTCCAGGATAAGTTATAACAAGGCGATTTTTCCTGAAATAGTAGACCCAAAAACACATGCTTGTACGCAGCCTGTCCAACAGAGGTTTATCTCAGAACTAAATGCAAAGAGGGGCGAATTTTAACTGTACCCGAAAACTGCTAATATCCAGCGAAGTGATCTCACAAACCAACGACCAAATGCGAAACAAGCTGTCGCGGGAGGAGATAGGTGCATCCGAAAAAAAAGACAAGCCCATCCACGTCACCAAACGTAAAAAACGTTCAACTGTGGCACCCTTTCGGTGCCTAGCTGCCATGCCACCCGAAGGTTGCACGAGGGCTGGGAAACTGTCAAGTCGCCCAAGCCTAGACAGGGGAAGTCGAGAGGCAAGTGTCGGGTTTGAATCACGGACCTTCCGTCAGTGAATTCGCGCTCTAACCGTTTGGGCCATCTCGCCCAGGATAACGTAATGGTTGTCATGAATCGAAACAAGCATGAAGACAAAGTATACGAACAGATAACACTGGGTTTTTACGAGAAGAACGAGCCGCACAAAGAAAGTCCAACTCTCAACAAGACCAAACTTCGGGTTATTAATCATATAAAGCCCAAGCTCAGTCAAGCGCCAAAATCTAATAGACCCGGAAGCTTCTATGGTTTGCCAAAAATACACAAAGCAGTTTTTTGAAGTCATATTATCAGCTGCTGGTAAGTCATGTAAGTAACTCTTGATTTTCATAAAAGAAACTACTCACAAGGTTGATGAAAATTCGTCGACAGCCTACGACCGGTTTCGCCCTTCTTGGGGCTCATCAGGTAGGCGCAGCCCTCGAGTTTCCGTCGACCTTATGTTCTACTTGAATATCGTGCCAACTGAAACATGAGGCGTCCTGTGTGAAGCACATTCAGTTGTGGAATATCATAAACAAGAGATTCAGTTTAGTCTCTCTGGAGAACCAAATTGATTGCAAATGAGTGTATTCCGCGAAAACGTTTGATTTTGTTAACATCTTCCAATCTACTCGCATCAATGATGTAGTGGCAGTAATGGCTCTTTATACTAGTGTACCGACTGCTTCTCTTTTCTGTCCCCCATTCTGTGAGACGATATACCTGTAGCACAACAACCTTATCTCGTGTTGATACTATTGTTGAACTGTGTGGAAGCCGTTTCAAAATGCACTCTATGGACAAACTGAAGGGACCGCTATGGGTCTTACACGACTTCGGCCTTCCAAAAGGCATTTGGCCAAGATACGTTGAGGAGATGTTTGCAATCATGTCAGCCACATAGCGACTGCTTGGATGAACAATACAGTTGTGTAAAATGCATGCTGGAAACTGAGAGCGAACAGAGAACTATTAGTTTCCTGGACTGCAAGCCATGTGTTAACATAAGCCATGGATTTTCAGTGAGAATCTACAGAACATCTACACATTCAGACAGATACTTGCATTATGAGTCTTCGCATCCACTCTACGTCCAACGCGCAGTTGTCGGATCGTTGGTGAATCGTGTCAGAAAACTTCATCTGGATGAGTGTATACCAATAAATGAACTGAAATTACTACAACAAAATCGGTACCCCGTAGGACTCATTACCCAGCAACCGGGGAAAACGCCAACGGAACCGGTGAGACAGGAAGACAAAAACATGCGAATGCCCTGTAGAAATGGTGCTTCAGGCGCCATTCCGAAACTACCTTGGGACCATGATATGAAGATTTTAGGAGAACCAGCTCCGAACGTAACGGGACTACATAACAGCCAGTGGAATAACCGTTTCCGTTGAGGCAGACTTCATTGGCTGTTGACAGAGGAGTTGCATTCTTAGTATCACTTTTTTGACCCGCATGCACGCGACAATGATCAATAGAGCAGCCGGTTCGCACATTCGTTGACTTTTTCTGGTCTGGCCAAGTGCACTAGACTATCAGTCGGCTATCCAGACCGGGGTTCACGGCCTGGATTAGGGGACTGTGGTCCACAACAGAAGACATTCTTCCGAATCGATAACACCTTTCAATGACACGTCGTAAGTTTTAAGGACCGTATCGAACCGAGCAGAATATCCTTCCAAATACATAGGCCGGACTGCCAGATAACTCCATGTGCGCGACATGCGCGTTTTCTTCCATGACATGCAATCGAGTCATAAAAAAACTAGGGCGTATCCCTGCCACTGCACTCCACTCACTTGTGCCAAACTATCAAATCAACTTCAGTGGTACGCTCCAGTCAGGATTCAAGTCACACGTGGAACGGATGTGCGCTGAAGCACTAAAGATCAACACCCGACCAAACTGCACCAGCCATCGGTGATGGAACCAGCATCCCGTCTGTTTGGCTTAGACTGACTACACACCTTAGAAGGCATAGTAGCCAGATGTCAAGCAGGGATCCTAACAGTGACGCATCACAGTCAGCACAACAACAAACGTGGTCAAAGTACACACACACACACACCGGTCGTACGGACTGCCAAGTGACCTCAGCAACACACCAATTAGAATACATGTTGGTAAGCCCAGGTAACGCAGCTACTGACTAATATTCAATTGATGGTGGAAACCTTTGAAATAAGGTTGATCATGGTTACCGAAATATCGGCTTATACCATCTTATTCTTTTAAAGCTTCCATGTTAGTTACATCACATAGTGCTCAATCTTTCCAACAATATCCGGACCGAGTTTGGTTCGGAACTCCTAAATAACGTGTTACGTTCAGGAGGGGGTTGCTCCATTAGTCACTAGTTAAGAAGAGTTATTCACCAAACTTAATTTTCTAGTAAATACCCTTCACGCACTCCGTGAAATCACTGATCCTTGTCTATCAGAATCGGTCTCATTAGTTTGCCATATCAAGCCCGTGAAAGTATATCGTGTCCTGTTTGCAATTGTTAGAGCAGCATATTCAGTGTTACCGGGATTCCCGCGCATTTCATTTTACTTGTCTTGTGAATGTGAAACCAGGGACTGGCCCATTCTATCAGTCTTCTTCAGAAGACTTCTAAGTCAAATCATGAGCAATACAGTCTATGCTACCTTTGCGTTCAGCGGTCGAGTTGGAATCTCTTTACCATTTTTACTTCCCCACTGTTGGTGTACAACTTCAAAAGTTTAAGAATATGTCTGACGATTTAGAAGACTTCTCTCGTTCGTTTTTCGCCGTTATCTTCGCTACACTGTGTCTCATTCATCTACGCTTGCTAACAAATAACTTATCGTTCCATATGCCTTTCTTTTCACTCCCTTCATAGCTCCCTATCAGCTTTACCGTACTTCATCACTGCCTTTTTCCTTTCGGAGTATCGCTACTCCCCACTCTTTTCTCTACGCTGTAGACCTCTACGTGTTTGTGCTCTTGTGCGATTACGGTGGTGTCCGGACAAACCGTATGTGTGGTTGGTTGTCCGTTGGTCAAGAGTGAATGCGCTTTGTGGGATGCCGTCTACCGTTCCTGGCTCATTTGAGAGAATAGTGCCTTCCTGAGATCGAAATTTCAAGCGAGTCTAACACGTCGGACGAGTGTTGCTCCGTCAGAGGTGTTTTCGACAGATTGAGACTGCTGTACATGGCACTTTTGTCAAATGATCGTCAAAGGATGTTTTCATTGTCCTCGTTTCGTTTAGGTTACTGTGGCTCATCACGTAGTTTCCGACTACCGGAAAGTCATGTGACCTACAGAACACGAGAGCATACAGTTTAGGCTTGCCTGGTTGTCACTCTCGACACAGCGACAACCAGTGTGAAACAGGAAGTGCGCAGTCGACACCCATCATTCTCTATTTATATAGAGAGAGTCGTACGATATGCAACTTTCAGTCAATTAACCCCCCGGTATGACCTGAAATCGTGTTTGACAACACCCGTTCCAACTCCAGTGAAAACCCAACCGATCACAATGTGCCTGAGTACTCTCAGCTTGATTCAGTGACAGCTGGAACTCTATCTGAACATACTGAATACTGCATGTGTTAGCTGGTGGAATAGAGTAGAAATGTATGAGAGATCTAAAATGACTTTCTAATTCAATGCGACTCACACAGTAACAACTTTTTTCCTGGAAAAAATCCCACAGTTTGCATAGGCTTTCCTCCCAAGTGAAATCAACGAACATTGAATCACGTGACGTGAGCTGTGCCATTGAATTTGGCGCTATAACTTGTCTGCGCGCGTGTTGGGCACACTGCTCATCAGCTACTCGTAGCCGAACAATTTGTGGTTTGACATTAACCAAAAGGTTTTGGGTTCGAGTCTCCATAGAGCTAGTTTCGAACTAGGATGAAGAATAAAGCCAAAATCGAAACTTTCAAATCCCGAAAACTACAAGTCTGGTCGCAGAGCAGATTGCAAGTGTGTGTGCTATCAGATTGGGTAGCTTTCCAGAGGGTTTGATATGCACGCGGAATAAACACCTTTCATGGAGGAATTTCACTGCCAATTTAAAGATCCGGGATTTTGAGGTATGTGCCCACACCACTCGGTTAAACGAATCCCATCCTGGCATCGGGTAACCGCTCAAGTGTGAGTCCCCTTCCCCCTTATCAGTATGCTGATGAACTGTTAGTAACGCGCTCTGGTTTCTTTTATGAGACGCCCAGAATTCAAATGTCGGCAAGATGAAGAATTCACCCCGCTGCCTAGCTCCAGTAAGGACGAAACTCGCGTTAAATGCCTTCATTCTTTGGTGCAGTCAATCACAGTCGCAATAGAGGGGGAATATTCATGGAAATTCAGCAAGTTCCACTCACAATTGCTGTCATTCGTTTGACACACGAGCGGTTGTTTTCCATGAGGCTGAGGCCAACGACGATCTTTTTCGCGTGACTGTGTTTAAAGCTGCTCAATAGTCGCTTCTTCTTCTTCTTCAGTAGATTGTTCAGTCGATTAGTGATCGGAAGGCCCGTGATTCGAACCCGATCTCTCTCCCTCTTACTTTCCCTGTCTCTAGGCTTGGACAACCTAGCAGTATTTCAACCCTCGTGCTTTCTTTGGGTGGCATGGCAGCTAGACACCGAAAACGTGTTACAACTGAATGATTAGTAGAGGCGTTGCAGTCGCCCTTCTTTGTTTTCGTTTCTGAACTTATCTTGAAAGTGACGTCAGCCCATGCTGAGAAAACCGATCGCACACCCCATAGATATGAATTCCATAGCACTACTCTTTTCCTTTTTTTATACTCAGGCGTGATATAGCATTTAACCTTTTCCCCCGGACACGTCACATTTCGTGTACTTTTTTCGATCTTCTCTGTCCGGAGTTCAAACTTACCTCGAATTCATTTTATCCTTTTATCCTGCGCACTTCCCCCCTTTATCATCATATTCATGGGAATTACTTGAAACTGTCGTGATTTCGTTCATTCAGCATTGAGGATGAATGACAGGCACTTAGACCGACACACGTCGATCAATAATCAACCTTAAGTTGGCCAGTCCACAAATTAGCAGCAAAGCATGCATTCAGTCATGTCGGGAACTGTTTTCCTGAACTCCAGATAGCTCAGAGGTTTGGGCGCAAGCTTACTGACAAGACGATCCATGGTTCGAACCCAACCCCGGCACCTCGACTGCTGCTGCCTAATCAACCTGACGATAGCTCAACCATGTTGCCCCATTCAGATGGTGTGGCAGCCAGGCGCACCGAAAGGGTGTTCCAGCCGAATAATGTGTGATTACGTGCCATCAATATATAACAGACGACGTGTATATGATGCCGGTGAGATCAAAGAGTTCTCGCCTCCTTTAGGTCTTCGCTTTTCCTAGAGTTAGTAATTCGTCCCAGCTGAAATTGCAGTCACATTCATCCCCCACTTGGTTTCTTCGATGCGGCCGATTTGTGAATGACTTATCGACTCAGAGATGCTTGTGCAGTTTGGCCACAAAGCATAACGATTCTCATGTATTCTCTTTGACCTTGAAACGCAAAAACTGTACCAACCCTCCCACAGGTGACATATTTCAATCCTTTGGTTTCGGCACCATAAGCGTGCCCCTCTCCATCTAATAGTTTCGTGGCCACAGATGCTTGTGACTTCAATCGACAAGTGATTCATTCCGGTGATGGTTATAGCTGTCATAGTTTTGTTTACCGATGAGATGGGTAGATAGCTGCGCATTGGAGGTGGTGGCCGATATAACGGACACGTGAATACAGGGTGGTTTGTGGACTTTTCATTCGGGAGATTTGGAGGGAAGTTATGGGTTGAACGTAACAACCTAGATGCACAAGCGCTATTGCGGGCGCCGCTGCGCCTTGTCTGACAATGTCTCTAATCATTGATTTGTTCTGTTTTGGGCTCCCCATCCAGGGAGACAGCAGTGGCCAGAGCAGCTTAGTTTCCTCGCAATGGCTTTCATACTTCGCTGCCAAGTCATTGTTTGACCTCCCCTGGCTTGTTCCCACCGTTCGCGTGGTTGTGCGAGAAGAGCCCTTCGAGGAAGTCGGTCGACTGGCATACGCAACACGTGGCCAAACCAGCGCAATCTACGGATTAATTAATTAATTAATTAATTAATAATAATCACATACACATGTTTTCATGGATATGAAAACGAGGCTCTAGGTTTATACTGTGGGGAGAATATGACGAAGTAAGGAAGTAGTAGGCTCATTTTTGCATGTCTGACCACGCAGTACCAAAAGCTAGCTTGGCGATAAATTCCTCACTGGTCGGTGACAACCGTGAACCTTAGTTTGCCGCTTCGCTTCACTCGGGCAAATGATTAATTGAGTTCGTTCTGCCAAACTTGATCGACTCAGTAGAAGACAGTCAAAGGTCAATCTGTGGCCTCTTCCATAGTTTTCTATGAAAGTTCAACAATTTTCTCTAAAAACTTTTTATTTTCTCCAATTTTCTCTATCGATATTACGTGCTAAACGAAAAACACCAGTTCCTGATTATAACCAGTTTTCGGTTGTAACGGATTTTTTCCGGTCTCATCAACCCTGCCACGACAGAGTTCTGTCGTAGTGCTCTACCTTGGATGTGGGTGGAAGATTATTATAGTCGCTCTCCTTCAAAAGTCTGTTTGGATATCTTGAAGCTGATGAGGAAACATCGATGTTTCTGGTTAGTATTGGGGCCATCGGTTTTGAAAGGCTCGCTTATACCTCTTGTTTATCTGTTTACAAATTTTCCAAACATCCGGGGAGCTGTTAAGGGTTTTAAGCTTCGCGAACATTTATTAATTTTTTGAACCCCGACATACCCATGCATGTATGGTGTTCAGCTGTGTTCGTAACTTTAGTTCGCGTCCTCGCGTGTCCGCTAATCTATCTGGACCGCTGGCGACGTGGAACATAGGTAACTCGGAAGCGTGCTTGTTTGCCTGGTCTGTTCTCCGAGCTTAGCAGTTGGATTGAAAACGTTTTTTCCCAAATCGAGGAAAGATAGCCAGTGCACTGTCCCAATAATCTCACTGTTCGCGCTTCGACGTATTTATACTCTCGACTGAGTAATTTTCACTCCTTGTCCTCTTCGCGTCCTCGCGTGTCCGCTAATCTATCTGGACCGCTGGCGACGTGGAACATAGGTAACTCGGAAGCGTTGCTTGTTTGCTGGTCTGTTCTCCGAGCTTAGCAGTTGGATTGAAAACGTTTTTTCCCAAATCGAGGAAAGATAGCTAGTGCATTGTCCCAATAATCTCACTGTTCGCGCTTCGACGTATTTATACTCTCGACTGAGTAATTTTCACTCCTTGTCCTCTAAACATTTCCGAGGAATCGTATTCATTTCACTTCGATTTTCTCACTGTGCATCTAGTTCCGTTACCTTTGTTGATCGATCCGATTTACTTGACCCTCACCTCCCTGGTTTTATTCTCAGCGAGCACATTGGACAGATCAGTGATAAACTCTTCAGCCTGTTGTCCAATCGAATCCAAGACAAACTGTCCTGTTGGCACGTGCGGCCTCCCACTCCAAGTGTTGAGCTGAAAGCGATTTGCCGAGCCTTCACACGAATGGTTGAGTCGACTACAGATATTATGCCAGTGGATACGCTGACAGTAAGCTATCATTCTTTTTTTCTTCGTTAGTTTCCCTCAGTTAATCTTACTTAACTGATTGTTGTCGACTGCTTGCCCTTGTTTACATCTTCTACCGTCCATTCAGGTGTACAGCTCATGCGTCAAAACGCGCATTCCATTGCGGCCTTCGCAGAACGTTATTTTCCATCTTCGCCTTACCAGAACACCCTATTGCTCGGCTACCACTCGCTCACTAAGATAGCTGATGCGTTACGAAAGACGTGGATCCTAGTGAAACTGGTGAAATGGAAGTCTGGCAAGAAATTCGCGCATCACTCATACAACCTCCAATTTTTAGTGGTCACAGTCATTCACTGAAAGTCTCCCCAGATTCGCAGGTGCGCTAAGTCCGGGGAAGATGACCGGGAACCCGATGGTTTTCCGGGACACCGTCCTAGTGATTTTGTGTGGTTCTACGGAGACGTTCTGTCGAACCCACGGTAGCTTTAGGCACTACAGGACCCCTTGCGAGCAGACTTATACCAACCGGTCCATGCATCAAATCGGTGACGTGTAAATGAAAAATTAGCTGAAAAATAGCCGAGCTTGTCAAATGATTTGCAAGCCTTCAGCTACCATTTGAGGAAATCCCGTCGGGTGGTTGAGCATTTCTTTCAACCTTTCTTGTGTTCGTGTGAAGTAGAAAACACGACCAGTTATTTGGTTTTATTGGTCCGCTTACGATCGGTCTTGGGCTAGAGTCCGTCTGTCGAACAAGAAGAAAACAGACCCAAACACAAGGCAAGTCAAACCGACGAAACCAGGAGAAAGTTGTCCTCAAAACTTCTAATCACGTCAGTGGTAACGCAGGTATAGGCACCGTCAGGAAATATCACACTGTTGACTTCTCTTTGAGTGCTGATGAGACGCTTTAAAGTCGGTTGTCATGTTTGACGCACAGATCAACATTCACCATTTCGAAACGTTGCTATCCGTAAAAGAAAAAAAAACAATGTTTGATGAGGCTTCAATGACTTACCTAAACTTGGTATGATCCCTGTGAAAAGGACCCCAGAGCCAGGAACTCACAACCTTGCCGATCGATGAATCGGTTCGCCTTGTTGGGGCTTACTGCTACTCCTTGGATTTTTACTTGGGTTGAGTCGGTCCTCTTATCCATATATATATATATATATATATATATATATATATATATATATATATATATATATATATATATATATATATATATATATATATATATATATATATATATATATATATATATATATATATATATATATATATATATATATATATATCGTCCAGCTGTAGCACTCTTTCGGTGCCTAGCTGCCATGCCGCCCGAAGGAAGCACGAGGGCTGGGTTACTGTCAGGTCGCCTAAGCCTAGACAGAGGAAGTCGAGAGGCAGAGGTTGGTTTCGAACCACGGACCTTCCGGTCAGTAAATTCGCGCTCTAACCACTTGAGCCATCTCACCCCCATGTGTAACTTCACAACATACTTTCAGCGTTCTCAATAGATGAATTGTTAGTTTCCCAATGGAAAGTAGTCCGTTTTGCTGCTGTTTTCGCGAGTTTTATCGTGTGATCTCAGATCTCTGGTTATGTGGCACTCCTCTGTTCAATCTGATTACTGGGATACTTATTCACGACTGTACCTGAAATTACATGTCATGTTTAGCGGCGCATCTCTGTGGCCACTTATGAAGGCACAAATGTCAGAAACACGGAAAAACACGTGTATTCGCATTTTATCCACGGATAACCTAATGTCACGCGACAATTTAAAGTTGTGTCCCCACCATCCAATCAGGAAGGTT